GAGCAACACTGCCAGAAGCAAATGAGTAAATGAATGAAAAGGACCAGGCCATACATGACACCATTTACATTCCCCAGCCTTGACTACACGTAAAGATGCGCGGCTTCATGCAACGTATGTAAGTAGTCACACTGTAGTCAGTTAGGCTATTCACGTAGATAAAGTAACTTTTGTTTAAATCTTTAGAAAACAGAATGCTTGGTAAAGGGCACCCTTCTTTAGAAACAGAGAAATGTGTTGGCTGAATAGTTACTCATGTAGAAGCTTTCTGTTATCTTTCAGTTATTCCGTTCACTTTTCACCAAAAATGCACAGTCTTAAAACAGAGCTGAATGCAAATTTATGAAATATAAAAATACTGGAGCTTTAGTCAACTCAGAATCATTTCAAGTGTACTGTCAATCTAAGCACAGCATTTTACAAGAACTATTTTGAACGGATCCTTTCATCTCATTAATGGAAAATTATTTCTAAAAGCCAGGCAAGAATAATATGAGTCTGTGACTGTCGAATCGCAGCACATCTGCTGAGGGTCTGAGGTGTACAGGGATGCCTTATTTTTTGTTTGAGATTTATGACTGGAAGTCACTAGAGAAGAGGCTAGTTTTCCCGATTTTGCTTTCCTCATCCCAAATAAAATGACTATTGGTTAAAAAAAAAGGGGGAAAAAAGCCACATGAAAGGCTGCATGTCTGCATAAAAGGATAGCAGGTGCTCAAGTCAGTCACATTAATATTCTGTTCAATTTTTTTCCCCTTGAATTCTAGTTACAGATAAAATCAAGCAATGTTTTTGCAGCGTGTAACCTCAGTTAGACAGCCTTTTCAAAACATATTGCAGTCTCATGAGAGGAAGATCTGCTAGTTCCTGGGTTCAGCCAGGTCTGCTATGAAGCTAATTCACAAACTGTGTGAATTTTCTAAAGACAATAAAAGAGAAAACATTGGCAAAAAGATGACACCCCCCTGCCAAACACCACACAAACTAAGGTAAACAAGCTTCACATTACAGTACTGGTAATCCAAAAGTATACATTTTCACGGCCAAATTAAGCTATGCTGTCTTTATTTTTATATATTATCAGCATTGGCAGATCATTTTCTGGACATATAGACTTTATAATAGAGTTATTGCTGCTCTTTCTTTCAAACAGCATCATAATATAAAACTGTCAATCAAGAAAATTAAGATACTTCTCTTTAAAATAGGTATACCTATACACACATATATACACTATACATATATACACATATACAAATACACACACATACCTACATAAAAAAAAGCTAGAAAAGTGTCTTCTACATAATATTCAATTTTATACCAGAAACATTGGCAAGTGGGATTTACACCTAGGGAATAAACTAATTTTTCATGATAGGAGAAAGGTATCAGCGAGATCTGTGTTGTTCAACATATTCATAAGCAATTTAGATAAAAGAATCGACGATATGGCAGCAGCTTCTGACAACATAAAACTATTTGCGAGACTCAAAATGAATCATAGAATCATAGAATCGTTAAGGTTGGAGAAGCCAGCTATAAAGTTCTACAGGAGGACTTCTTGATATGACATCACTGAGCAACAAAATGGCAGATGAAATTCAATGTGATAAATGCACATTTTGTACTCAGGAAGAAAACGATCCCAATTTCACCCACTAAGTCATCTACGTCTTCTCTCTTCTGCTTGTGGGTAGCCCTCCAAAGACACCAGGTAAGAGCTTAGCCAGCATACGCTCCTGAAGTCTTGAAATGTGGGAGCATATGGGGGCTCCCCCACATGGGGTAACATTCGGGGAGCATATAGGGGCTGTCTTATGTCTATTAAGTATCTTCTATTCTTATGTCTTTTTATAGGACATAAGAATACATACTTCAAATTGTGCATGATCATTACTTCCTTAAGCAGTCTGTAATCGCTGGTGCATTCCCTTCATGTCCTTGACATTTAATGGTTAATAATTTTTCCCATTCTTAGACTCTTTCTTAAATGTCAACTTTCTCACACTCATGATGATGTCTTCAGATGTTATGAAACCTCCCGAGGCTGAGAGGAAAGCCAATGATGCAACCTCCCTCTGCCAAAAGAAATTTCACAATTTGTTCTTCAATGTTTGCTTTGACTTCAAAAAATATATACTACATATTTCTACATCCATCTTAAATGGAACTTAACATTACTGAGAACCGAGTTACAAAGCCTAAGAAAATATTCTCTGAAGGGATAGGGTGGAGGAGTCTGTTGAGTCTCTGCCAGCTGCTCTCCATTTTCTTTCATCCTGTGTTTATCCTTGATAGAGATATTAACTCCAACATCCAAACAACCAGTACCATCATTTCTAACCAACAGAAGAGTAAAAGTCCACTGAGTCTAAACTCATTCCTCCCTTGTCGTAGTGAGGACATAAACCCGACAAGCACTGGGGCAAGAGTGAAGAAAGGGGCACTTACAGCCAAGGAAGCAACTATCGTCTTTCTCCAGCTCTCGGTCTGTGCACATAGACAAAGAAAGATGGGACGTTAGCCATCTAACAGCGTGACGTTAATCATACTTTCATCCTGTTTTCTCAACAGGTTTCTCCTATTTGTCATGCTTCCATGATTCATTTGGAAGCCAAAAGAGCTGGAGAGCACACTGGACCCATGACCAAGTAGTGAACGATTGTACAACACTGAGTTGAAGGACAATTCCCATCTCAGCACTGAGACTGGAGAGAGGATGGCTGTGTTTGAAGGATGCGACATACATCGTGGTTACAATACCTACCCCTATCCCACACAAACGAACACCCACAGCTCCAGCGGTTGCTGCTAAGGGGGAATGACCACATTTCTGGACAGCCAAGCAAGAAACTCTGAGCTCCCACAAAATAAAAATGAGCTACAGCCACAGATGCTGCTTCTTAGGCCAAAATTTTCTAATGATGTCATGAAGTTGTGACACAAACCATCACTACAGCTCTGCCTTCCAGAAGAGGGTGGTTCTTCAAGGATGAAACAGGAGTGGATATTTCTGGTGATTAATTGACACTCGCATGGTCGTTGAATGTTCTGTTTTACTTCCTAAAGGTTCTGTATTTTTGCCAGCTATTTCATCAAATGTCCTGCTGTCTTTATTGGTCTCTGTAGAATGGAAGACTCTCAAAACCACGGAATTTTTTCACAGAGCGGTATGAACATACAGGCAGGTTTGAACCTAAGGAAACTGAAGCATCTATGTAACTACCAGTTCCACCAAGGAACCAAAGAGAAATACGTTGGGCATATATTTTTCCCACCACTCATGTCATTCATTATTCCCCAGTCCTAAGACTACGATTTTTTCAGAAAATTAAAAAGATACCAAGGCCTAAATAGAAATCAGATTTACTCAGTTTAGAGGGAATCACTAATGAAATAGGTACTTCAAAGCGGAAGCTCTCCAGTAATGAACTGTAAACAGTCATTGAAACATTGAATAATGTAGATTGGAAGGGACCTCTGGAGGTCCCAAATCAAATCCCACTCTCTAAAGTCAATATCATAGAGCTACATGGCTACTTTTTCCCATATATACACTGAAACTCTGCAGCCTGTAACCAACCCTTAGTATTGCTAGTAACAAAAGTCCCATTAATTTCTCCAAAAGGATTGGGTTATGCAAACAAGCTCTTGATCTGTCTGTATCTGATGTCACTGGTGTAACATCCAAGCCAAAGGCCGTAACACTAAATTTTTACACCAAGATTCACATCATGGTTTGTTTTGGGTTTTTTTTCTGAATAGAAGCCATGAATATCACAAGAAATACCTTCGTTTTGCAACATGGAGATTTCAATGATAAACAAGCAGTTTTTTAAAGAGAAAGAACTCGCACATATCACAGCACGGACTAAGTATCTAATTTGTTAGGCAGTCCAATTACTGAATTTGGTCCCCTACAGTGAATTTACATCTGGCTTCCCCAGAGTGAAGAGGTTAACATCTGTTCCAGCTCTTTTATTTGTTTAGCGGTTTCTTGCTTATAAATGTAGAATCGTTAGGGTTGAAGTAGATTTTGCACCAGATACAGAAAAAAAAAAAAATTCATTACAGATTTTGTGAAGTGTAAGATAACGTGGACATGTGGATGCTTAGTCAGTTTCTGTGAAATAACCAAATATCACCATATAGAAGGTCCTATACCTTAACCCATCATTCTCCAGGTGAAGGTGTCATTTTTTCTTACTTCCAGTAAAATTTATTTCCTTAATTTCAAGCTCTGTACAAGTCAGGGCTCTTTGGCTTCTCCCCTCAGTTCCCACAAGTCACCAGAGGATGTAGAATGATATTTAATTCATACTAGAAGTTACTTATTTCATGATAACTCATTCCATGTAGCCCACCCAAAACCCAGATGGTAACAGCTTTCAATTACTGTTGACATAAATTGGATATGAAACAGATGTGGAAAGCCTAATGTAAATGTGAATACTGGGTTGCCTGAAATAGAGTTCAATATTTACTGTAGGAGGTATCCTTTAGCAGCAAAGTTTTCCTGTTACACTCCCAACACTATTATGGATTCCTGCTCAAGGAATATATAGTAATCATCTATACATTAACTTTAATATAAGCTAGTATATGTCACTCATTTCTGCCTGATCCTGTTAAGCTAAACCGGCATTTCATTTACAATGCTTTTTAAGTTTTTCCTTCAGGTCTAATCAGGGTTTCTCGTGTTGTTTCTGAGATTTATTTGCCACTTGCTTGTCAGCAGCAGTTTCTAATGTTTCTCCCTCCCATAGCTCCGCCAGTTATTGCTCCAGTCCTTGCTGATGCCAAGGAAATCTCTCGGGCTGCAAGGTTAAACTTTTATCTCACTGCGTGTCTGCTTTAAGCAGTGGTAGACATTGTTTTAGCTCTCTGCTTCCACAGAGAAGCCTAAATATTTCTCAGATTTATCCTAAATGATAACATGGGGTTACACATACCAAGTACAATAAGGCTTTATCTACAACTTCAGCATAACCGTATGTCGAAAGGAATATTAACTTTATTGTGTTTCCACTCCAAGTTTCTCTGCCAAACATATTTCCAAAATAATTGCAGCCATTATATTTTCTAGCTGAAATAATTTCAATATAGCAAAGTACTCTATGAATATTCGTAGCAGTTTGCCAGCCAATCCATTTTCTTTGTTAACTTTCACTTCCACAGTTTGCATTCACTTAGACACAGGCATGACTGAAAAACAAGCAACTGATCAGAAGTCATCTGATTTCCAAAATTTCAGTGTTTGGGGGTTTTGTGTTTTGTTCAAAGCTTTGTGTCTAAAGATAGCCTGTCCTCTCCACGGAATCTCTGTCCTGTCTCACTCAGCCCCCTGCACCCCAAGGATGAAGATGCTGCCAGGTCTTCCGGATCTACCCCCAACTGACAAAATTATCTTATCCAGGTCAACTTCTTGGTATTGTTGACTGAGCTTGCAAGGTCTTGTACTCAGCTTGAAGATATTGCTCCATTTGGATGTTACACAACGGCTTACAAACATCACACGTACTCAATCAGTTCTGAAGTTTCAGGGAAGATAAAAGGGCAGAACTCTACTGCTGTCGTTGGGAAAAGCAGAAACCCGGCAGGGTGGAGACATGAGTCTACTGGAATGTGATCATCAAAACTTCAAACTCTAGCAATCTTTGACTTTTCTCCAAGGAAGTTGTTCCATTTCAGCTCAGTCAACGTTCTAATACATTTCTGAAAGCAGTCACATCCTGAAAGAGGGGGAAGAGAAAGAGTGAGAGTGGTAAAGGGCAATGAGAGGTGTAAAGGCACAAGGGAACAGGCAAAAAGGTACAAACGAGTAGAGAAATACATAGAAATCCCGGAGTGTTGGAGAGGAGGTACATAGAGAGAGCCTTGCTATCGAACAAGTGAAAAATGTGGATTAAACTTTTGGTTAGAAATGTGAGATTTGTCCCTGGAATTCAGGGCAAGTAGCAATTGGCACATAGGGAGACTGGGAGGGGAAAAACAGAGGAATGCAAGAAACCCTTGCTACGCATGATGAGTTGATCCTGTAGAAATAATAACATTTAGCCCTTCGGTGCATGTAACTTAGACTTTATCGCACAGGATTCTGACAAAACTATACAGCATACTTTGAAAAGGCTAGTTAGTTTCCATTTGGTATACATTTTGGTAAATTATAATACAAATCTAACCTAAGAAATCTTTCTACTCCCCACTGGCAATGTTGGAGACTGCCTGTGTCTAATTACACTGAACAAAATTAGTGTCAGCCAGCCACTTTAATTTCTAAAGGCTAGTGCATGCTCCAAAATCTTGACAGCATGAACACTGCCTGGGTAGTGGGACAGCAGAGTAGTGTGAGAGGCATTTATTATGGGTGATGGACAGATGTCACTGTGCTGTGATGATTCAAGACCTGCTCCATCAAGCTCTGCCACCAGCTCACTGAAAAGGCGGAGGAGAAACCCCACCATCGCCCTGCTCCAGCGGTGGAGGTAGGGAGGAACCAGCAGCGACGCGTGTCCCCACCTCCTCCCTTTGCCTGCACAAAGCAGAGTGGTGGCAAGGGTGGGAGCCACGGTGACGGCACCCTTGGGGGTGTGGGGAGAATGGGGAATGAGAGAGGGGGAATGCCAGGCTGAAGCCTCCACAAAAAACAAAGCACCTGCATGGGGTCCTGCCCTTCCAGCAAGACTAAATCTCTTTGGGAAAGAAGAGGAAGGTAAGTCAGGGAGACAAGGAGACATCTCCCACCTTCACGTTTGTGGTTTATTTACCAACCCCTTATCTAAAAAGGATTAGTAGTACGTTGTTATGTTTCAATACTTGTTCAGTGTCAACACCATGAAAGATTTAAGATGGGATCACTGATGACAAAGAAGAGGGATGCTCTCAAGGGTGCAGAGCAACAGAGGAACTTTTTTGCAGACCCTGCCCCAGCCTGAGATCTGAAGGAGGGTGTGTGAAAGCTGTATTGATCATCCACAGTAGGCAACTGTGGACCAGACTTTGGGCCTCAGCATGTTATTTGCTTTCCCTGACCCACGCCCAAGCCTCTTGCACGACTGCAGGCATGAAACATCCACGGAAGTGTATTCATGGTGTGCCGTTGGTCTGCAGCTGCACTGAGGACCAAGGGCAGAATATTTATGGGTCGGAGTAGAGAGATTGTCAGCTTTTTGTGTACTAAAATGTTTTAAAATGTATCCTTCAGAGTACAGTTGTAACTGAATACAGAATATATTTTCTATGTGATCAGCTGAAATACAACATTTCTAAAAGGCTGGTAAAAAAATTAAAAAGAAAAGAGAGCAAAACTGTTCTGAATTTAAAATGTAAAGTACTTGCATTAGTGAGGTCTTAACTCCCTTACAAATCTGATGTACCTGAATTTCCACTGCAGTAAAGAGGATTTGAAGGTCCTGCTGCCTCACTAGAAAGACTAGAGAGAGAGAACTTTATGAGGTTGGGGCCTTAATTAGGTTGGTCTTGCCCACTGAATCTTTTTTTAAACACAAGTTAATGACACAAATACATTAATAAAGGACATAAAGCCACCACTACATAACACATAGAGCAAACATGAAAGAGAATGCGCTAGTTCAACACAGAGCAGGTCAGAAATAAGGCAGTATTATCAAGTTATACAAGTCCTACTAAAAGGACCCCCTGTTACCTAAAGTCTAACCTATATCATGTTTTCTGAAAGAGCCTCTTTTCTAATGGTCTTTACAAAAAAGCTGCTGGAAACAGCTGCCTCCTCCCCTTTTTTGTTTCCCCGCCGTGTTTCTGTGCTACATAAACTGGCGAACACAGTTCACAGTCGGTTTGGAGAGCACAAAGTGATTGCTATGTTTATGAAATCCTATTCCTGTTAGTCAAGGAAATGAGTTTGACTCACCGGCTTGTTTATGAGTTTTGCTTTATGCAAGCTACTGCCGACCTCAAACTGCTGACCCACCAACACTGCTCCAAACTTCTGCTCAGAGGGGATTTGCAGAAGAGAAGTTTGTATTTCTGCAAAGCATTCCT